TTATCCAACGTAGTCATAGGTTTGAACGTTGTTTTCAATTTAGACTTGTTTATATATTTTTTCGTTTGGGCTTGTATTATATTTGCCTTCGGGTTTATATGATCCGTTCATCCTATTTCGACTCTTTCAAAATTCAAGAGTCTATCCTAAATTGAGGTAAATTATATGGCCTTCCAAATACCGTTTCTATTCCGAACATCACTGAAGAGACATTAATTGTCGAAATCCGGATATGGTGTACAAATTTTTGCACCGCATGTTTGCGGTATACCATCTTTTCCGCAAGTTTATTGTTTTCTGTTGGGTAATAAATTATTTTAAGATCCATTTTGTTACATCTGGTGATCCGTTTATTTGGCAATCGCCAATGGCAGTCAACAGGGTTTAAGAACATCAGTTGTTCGACCTGCTAGTCAAATGCGTTTTGTTAAAATATACTTTTTCACTTTTTGGTCTTTTGGAAAATGTTGTTTGTGGTGTATTTAGACCCCTTTACCAAGAAATTTGTTTTGCATGCACACGTATAAAAATTGCGGTTTTTATCAAACGCAATCATAGGTTTGAACATTGTTTTCAATTTAGACTTGTTTATATATTTTTTCGTTTGGGCTTGTATTATATTTGCCTTCGGGTTTATATGATCCGTTCATCCTATTTCGACTCTTTCAAAATTCAAGAGTCTATCCTATATTGAGGTAAATTATATGGCCTTCCAAATACCGTTTCGATTCCGAACATCACTGAAGAGACATTAATTGTCGAAATCCGGATATGGTGTACTAATGTTTGCACCTCATGTTTGCGGTATACCATCTTTTCCGCAAGTTTATTGTTTTCTGTTGGGTAATAAATTATTTTAAGATCCATTTTGTTACATCTGGTGATCCGTTTATTTGGCAATCGCCAATGGCAGTCAACAGGGTTTAAGAACATCAGTTGTTCGACCTGCTAGTCAAATGCGTTTTGTTAAAATATACTTTTTCACTTTTTGGTCTTTTGGAAAATGTTGTTTGTGGTGTATTTAGACCCCTTTACCAAGAAATTTGTTTTGCATGCACACGTATAAAAATTGCGGTTTTTATCAAACGCAATCATAGGTTTGAACATTGTTTTCAATTTAGACTTGTTTATATATTTTTTCGTGTGGGCTTGTATTATATTTGCCTTCGGGTTTATATGATCCGTTCATCCTATTTCGACTCTTTCAAAATTCAAGAGTCTATCCTATATTGAGGTAAATTATATGGCCTTCCAAATACCGTTTCGATTCCGAACATCACTGAAGAGACATTAATTGTCGAAATCCGGATATGGTGTACTAATGTTTGCACCTCATGTTTGCGGTATACCATCTTTTCCGCAAGTTTATTGTTTTCTGTTGGGTAATAAATTATTTTAAGATCCATTTTGTTACATCTGGTGATCCGTTTATTTGGCAATCGCCAATGGCAGTCAACAGGGTTTAAGAACATCAGTTGTTCGACCTGCTAGTCAAATGCGTTTTGTTAAAATATACTTTTTCACTTTTTGGTCTTTTGGAAAATGTTGTTTGTGGTGTATTTAGACCCCTTTACCAAGACATTTGTTTTGCATGCACACGTATAAAAATTGCGGTTTTTATCAAACGCAATCATAGGTTTGAACATTGTTTTCAATTTAGACTTGTTTATATATTTTTTCGTTTGGGCTTGTATTATATTTGCCTTCGGGTTTATATGATCCGTTCATCCTATTTCGACTCTTTCAAAATTCAAGAGTCTATCTTATATTGAGGTAAATTATATGGCCTTCCAAATACCGTTTCGATTCCGAACATCACTGAAGAGACATTAATTGTCGAAATCCGGATATGGTGTACTAATGTTTGCACCTCATGTTTGCGGTATACCATCTTTTCCGCAAGTTTATTGTTTTCTGTTGGGTAATAAATTATTTTAAGATCCATTTTGTTACATCTGGTGATCCATTTATTTGGCAATCGCCAATGGCAGTCAACAGGGTTTAAGAACATCAGTTGTTCGACCTGCTAGTCAAATGCGTTTTGTTAAAATATACTTTTTCACTTTTTGGTCTTTTGGAAAATGTTGTTTGTGGTGTATTTAGACCCCTTTACCAAGAAATTTGTTTTGCATGCACACGTATAAAAATTGCGTTTTTTTATCAAACGCAATCATAGGTTTGAACATTGTTTTCAATTTAGACTTGTTTATATATTTTTTCGTTTGGGCTTGTATTATATTTGCCTTCGGGTTTATATGATCCGTTCATCCTATTTCGACTCTTTCAAAATTCAAGAGTCTATCCTAAATTGAGGTAAATTATATGGCCTTCCAAATACCGTTTCTATTCCAAACATCACTGAAGAGACAATAATTGTCGAAATCCGGATATGGTGTACTAATTTTTGCACCTCATGTTTGCGGTTTACCATCTTTTCCGCAAGTTTATTGTTTCTGTTGGGTAATAAATTATTTTAAGATCCATTTTGTTACATCTGGTGATCCGTTTATTTGGCAATCGCCAATGGCAGTCAGCAGGGTTTAAGAACATCAGTTGTTCGACCTGCTAGTCAAATGCGTTTTGTTAAAATATACTTTTTCACTTTTTGGTCTTTTGGAAATGTTGTTTGTGCTGTATTTTGACCCCTCTACCAAGAAATTTGTTTTGCATGCACACGTATAAAAGTTGCGGTTTTTATCCAACGTAGTCATAGGTTTGAACGTTGTTTTCAATTTAGACTTGTTTATATATTTTTTCGTTTGGGCTTGTATTATATTTGCCTTCGGGTTTATATGATCCGTTCATCCTATTTCGACTCTTTCAAAATTCAAGAGTCTATCCTAAATTGAGGTTAATTATATGGCCTTCCAAATACCGTTTCTATTCCGAACATCACTGAAGAGACATTAATTGTCGAAATCCGGATATGGTGTACAAATTTTTGCACCTCATGTTTGCGGTATACCATCTTTTCCTCAAGTTTATTGTTTTCTGTTGGGTAATAAATTATTTTAAGATCCATTTTGTTACATCTGGTGATCCGTTTATTTGGCAATCGCCAATGGCAGTCAACAGGGTTTAAGAACATCAGTTGTTCGACCTGCTAGTCAAATGCGTTTTGTTAAAATATACTTTTTCACTTTTTGGTCTTTTGGAAAATGTTGTTTGTGCTGTATTTAGACCCCTCTACCAAGAAATTTGTTTTGCATGCACACGTATAAAAATTGCGGTTTTTATCCAACGTAATCATTGGTTTGAACGTTGTTTTCAATTTAGACTTGTTTATATATATATATATATATATATATATATATATATATACATAAGTACGTCTGAACCAGTGACAACTCTACGACAAATTTTATCCATCGGATCACCAATGATGGTGATACAAGGCTGATATATATTGCTTTATTTTTATTTTTGTAACTAATGACTGCCCGGGTTATAAGTGGAATGTAAAAAAGGAACACCAGGCTTGGACTCGTGATGAATACTGCAACAGGTAAGATATCGAAATAAAATATATACATTGTCGAAAAAGACGAAAGGATGTGTAGTTGTTGAATTTCATATCGTAAGAAATTATGGAAACAAATTTAATTTTTATGTCATTCGAAGTGAAAATAGAAAGATGAAAATGTATGATATAAATAAACTCATCATAGATACCAGGATCAAAATTGTGTACGGCACACGCGCGTTTCGCCTACAAAAGACTCGTCAGTGGCAGTAGAACAAAGAATATTAAAAAGGCCTTATATATGAACATGAAAATTATGCCACACTACGGCTTTGACTTGTAATCAAACTGGTAATTTCATTATTACAAACTAAGCAACATAAATATATATTGAGGTGGGTCATGAGCATTGTGTTTAACCGTTAGCCTTATCTTGTATAACATTATTTAATTAGAGCTTGCAGCTGCTACGCACCAGTGCCTGTGCAAAAGGTTAATGAACCAGGGTTATGTCAAAGAACGTCTCGTCATTTTTCTAAAAAAGTTCATCGGAAGATACCTTGTTGATAAATATTCCGTATCAACTTCACAAATAATACATGATGGTCTTGAAGTGTAGTTTCTATGTACTGACGTTGTAATTACGTGTTATAATGTTCCAGGTACTGACGTTGTAATTACGTGTTATAATGTCCTAGGTACTGACGTTGTAATTACGTGTTATAATGTTCTTTTTATGTGTCTTTGTATATTATTAACCTTAACTGTTTAGTCCATTTTTGGTGATAAACTTTTGGCGTGACTAGGTATTTATACAACCTGCCATTGTGTTATTGTGCTATGGTCATTTTTATATTCTTGTCTTTCATTTTTGCTTGTGTACGTCGAACATTTTTTTTTTCTTTGTTAAAATAGTTTTTTGTTGTTATAGTGATTAAGATTATAACACAATGATGACTGTTGTACCCCGATATTTGACATTTTTACCTATTAATATAAGGGAATTCTATATGACTGTCATACAAGTGAGAGGTTTAGCTAGCTATAAAACAAGGTTTAATCCACCAATTTCTACATCAGAAAATACCTGTACCAAGTCAGGAATATGACAGTTGTTTTCCATTCGTTTAATGTGTTTGAGCTTTTGATTTTGCCATCTGATAAAGAACTTTTCGTTTTGAATTTCCCATTAATTCGGTATTTTTGCTATTTTACTTTTTAGAACCTATATTGGTAATATTTCTTGTGACAATCTGTTATGAAGGATGTTCAAACATTTTCTATATATGTATGTAATAACACCGAAATATACCTATATACCTATATACTATGACAAACAATATAATTCAATTTGTTTTTCTGGTTCTTCTTCGTTATTTGGAAAATATTTGCATCTCCATTTTAAAAGCTATACAATCTAACGTTAATGGACATAAAAGATTTCGTTTGCATACAGAAGTACTGAGTTATCATCTTTTTGAAAATGAAGTGAAAATCTGAACAAACGTAAACTTAACTGTTGTTTGTTGATACTTACGGCTTGTTAGACTCTTCAAAAACTCATCCTCATCAGAACTTGAAACTGTCGCCAGTCTTCCTCCCAATGCAACACAATATTCCTATTAATAAATGCTTTCTTTTATTTTGAAAGTTAAAAAAAATCACATTTAAAAGTATAAGAACAAAACGAGAGGAGAGAAAGGTTTTCCATTGCCCTTCATTTTAACCGCTTATAATATATGCTGCAATCGTTTTAAAACGTAGGCGTGGCTTAATGCTTTATACTGGTGGTAACTATTTATTACAAAAAAAATTGAACATTTACATTTTGAAATTTGTAATGAATTGTTCACACTTCCAAAAAATTCATTACTCTATAAACATATTGTTTTTGTTTTTTTATGATGTGAAACAGATATTCCATAACGGTCAACCAACTCGTGATGACGTCCGTAAAATTTCGAAGGGATGATTTCAACTTCACCACTTGGAACTCTTGGTTTGATAGCTTCCATGCGAACAGCAACCCTCTATCAAGGAAATTATTTTAGGAAATACGTGATCTGAAATATCGTTTCAACTGGGAGATATATACTCCATAAGCAGGTACGTGCTGGAATGTGGCTACAGATAAATGAAAAGTTCACAATTGGAAAGCTGAAATAATCTCTTTGGTGGCAAAGTTTTGTTCTCAACCAACCTCGTTGTCACTTTCTAGATATAAGTCAAGATATGAGGCAGACTTAACTGTATCTATTATATTCTTTATTTTATCTATGGGATAGATGCGTTTAACATAGTCACCAAACTCTGAATTATTTAGTGAGAGGACATCATCTATACAGCGGAAAGTGAAGTTAAAGAATAATGCTAGCTTCTTTTCGTTCTTCCTAATATGCTACTGTATGACGTCATTCTTGTATGAATTACATTACGATAAATAATTAGTGGTGACATTTTGTTTTGTTATCAGTTGCATTCGTTCATTTGACTGATTACAGCAACACATATTTTGAAACGTAACAATTTTACTCCGCATTTTCAACAGTTAATCTTTAAAAGCAGTTTACACTTGACGTAAATGGCGATTCAAAGGATTCGCCATGTAACGGAACAATGCTCGACAGAGTCTCACTAAGCTTTATCTCTATATCGGTAATGATGGGATAAAATTATAATATAACGGCCCAGGCCATGTGAAAATTTCTAACAAATCAATAGATTGCATGCATTATTATATTAACAAAACATGTCGTTAGTGTATATGAAAAATTAGATAAGTCGACGAATATCATAAACACTAAAGACACAACTAATTTACCACCAACACTAAAAACACAAATAATTCACCATCAACACTAATTCCGTCGCTAGTGTGTACGATGAATACGTCGTTAGCATTTATGATATATTAGATACGTAGTTAATGTTTATGATGAATTAGATACGTCGATAGGTGTATGATGAATTAGATATGTCGTTAGTGTTTATGATGAATAAGTTACGTCGTTAGTGTTTATGGTGAATAAGTTACGTCGTCAGTATTTATGATGAATTGAATACGTCGTAAGTTTTTATAATGAATTGGATATGTCGTTAGTGTTTATGATGCTTAAGATACTTCGTTAGTGTTTATAATGAATTAGATCTGTCGTTAGTGTTTATAATGAACTAGATATTTCGTTATTGTTTATGAAGGATTATATTCGATGTTATTGTTTATTGTGAATTAGAAACGTCGTTAGTGTCTATGATGAACAAGATATGTCGTTAGTGTTTATGATGAACTAAATATGTCGTTAGTGTTTATGATGAATTAGAAACGTCGTAAGTCTTTATAATGAATTAGATATGCCGTTAGTGTTTATAATGAACTAGATATGTTGTTAGTGTTTATGAAGGATTAGATCCATCATTGTTTATGGTGAATTAGATACGTTGTTAGTGTTTATGATAAACTAGATATGCCGTTAGTGTATAAGATGAACTAAATATGTAATAGTGTTTATGATGAACTAGATATATCGTTAGTGTCTATGATGAACTAAATATGTAATAGTGTTTACGATGAATTAGATACGTCGATAGGTGTATGATGGATTAGATATGTCGTTAGTATTTATGATGAACTAGATATGTCGTTAGTGTTTATGATGAATTAGATATGTCGTTAGTGTTTATGATGAATAAGATACTTCGTTAGGGTTTATAATGAATTAGATATGTCGTTAGTGTTTATAATGAACTAGATATCTCGTTAGTGTTTATGAAGAATTAGATTCGATGTTATTGTATATGGTGAATTAGATACGTCGTTAGTGTTTATGATGAATTAGATATGTTGTTAGTGTCTATGATGAACTAGATATGTCGTTAGTGCTTATGATGAACTAAATATGTCGTTAGTGTTTATGATGAATTAGATACGTCGTTAGTGTTTATAATGAATAAGATATGCCGTTAGTGTTTATAATGAACTAGATATGTTGTTAGTGTTTATGAAGGATTAGATCCATCACTGTTTATTGCGAATTAAATACGTCGTTAATGTCTATGATGAACAAGATATGTCGTTAGTGTTTATGATGAACTAAATATGTCGTTAGCATTTATGATATATAAGATACGTAGTTAATGTTTATGATGAATTAGATACGTCGATAGGTGTATGATGAATTAGATACGTCGATAGGTGTATGATGAATTAGATATGTCGTTAGTGTTTATGATGAATAAGTTACGTCGTTAGTGTTTATGATGAATAAGATACTTCGTTAGTGTTTATAATAAATAAGATCTGTCGTTAGTGTTTATAATGAACTAGATATGTCGTTAGTGTTTATGAAGGATTATATTCGATGTTATTGTTTATTGTGAATAAGATACGTCGTTAGTGTCTATGATGAACAAGATATGTCGTTAGTGTTTATGATGAACTAAATATGTCATTTGTGTTTATGATGAATTGGATACGTCGTAAGTGTTTATAGTGAATTAGTTATGCCGTTAGTGTTTATGAAGGATTAGATCAATCATTGTTTATTGTTAAAAAGTTACGTCGTCAGTATTTATGATGAATTAAATACGTCGTAAGTGTTTATAATGAATTGGATATGTCGTTAGTGTCTATGATGAACAAGATATGTCGTTAATGTCTATGATGAATTAAATATGTCGTTAGTGTTTATGATGAATTAGATACGTCGTAAGTGTTTATAATGAATTAGATATGCCGTTAGTGTTTATAATGAACTAGATATGTTGTTAGTGTTTATGAAGGATTAGATCCATCTTTGTTTATGGTGAATTAGATACGTTGTTAGTGTTTATGATGAACTAGATATGCCGTTAGTGTATAAGATGAACTAAATATGTAATAGTGTTTATGATGAACTAGATATATCGTTAGTGTCTATGATGAACTAAATATGGAATAGTGTTTATGATGAATAAGATACGTCGATAGGTGTATGATGATTAGATATGTCGTTAGTGTTTATGGTGAATTAGATATGTCGTTAGTGTTTATAATGAATTAGATATGTCGTTAGTGTTTATGAAGAATTAGATTCGATGTTATTGTTTATGGTGAATTAGATACGTCGTTAGTGTTTATGATGAATTAGATATGTTGTTAGTGTCTATGATGAACTATATATGTCGTTAGTGCTTATGATGAACTAAATATGTCGTTAGTGTTTATAATGAATTAGATACGTCGTTAGTGTTTATAATGAATAAGATATGCCGTTAGTGTTTATAATGAACTAGATATGTTGTTAGTGTTTATGAAGGATTAGATCCATCATTGTTTATGGTGAATTAGATACGTTGTTAGTGTTTATGATGAACTAGATATGCCGTTAGTGTATAAGATGAACTAAATATGTAACAGTGTTTATGATGAACTAGATATATCGTTAGTGTCTATGATGAACTAAATATGTAATAGTGTTTATGATGAATTAGATACGTCGATAGGTGTATGATGAATAAGATATGTCGTAAGTGTTTATGATGAATTAAATACGTCGTTAGTGTTTATAATGAATTGGATATGTCGTTAGTGTTTATGATGAATAAGTTACGTCGTCAGTATTTATAATGAATGAGATAGGTCGTTAGTAAATATAATGAATTGGATACGTCGTTAGTGTTTATAATGAATTAGATATGTCGTTAGTGTTTATAAAGAACTAAATATTTCGTTTGTGTTTATAAAGGATTAGATTCGTTGTTATTGTTTATGGTGACTTAGATACGTATTTAGGGTTTATGATGAACTAGATATGTCGTTAGTGTCAATGATGAACCAGATATGTCGTTAGTGTTTATGATGAACTAAATATGTCGTTAGTGTTTATGATGAATTAGATACGTCGTTAGTGTTTATAATGAACTAGATGTGCCGTTAGTGTTTATAATGAACTAGATATGTTGTTAGTGATTATGAAGGATAAGTTCCATCATTGTTTATGGTGAATTAGATACGTCGTCAGTATTTATGATGAATTAAATACGTCGTAAGTGTTTATAATGAATTGGATATGTCGTTTGTGTTTATGATGAATAAGATACTTCGTTAGTGTTTATAATGAATTAGATCTGTCGTTAGTGTCTATAATGAACTAGATATGTCGTTAGTGTTGATGAAGGATTAGATTCGATGTTATTGTTTATTGTGAATTAGATACGTCGTTTGTGTGTATGATGAACTAGATATGTCGTTAGTGTTAATGATGAACTAAATATGTCGTTAGTGTTGATGATGAATTAGATACGTCGTTAATGTTTATAATAAATTAGATGTGCCGTGAATGTTTATAATGAACTAGATATGTTGTTAGTGTTTATGAAGGATAAGTTCAATCATTGTTTATGGTGAATAAGTTACGTCGTCAGTATTTATGATGAATTAAATACGTCGTAAGTGTTTATAATGAATTGGATATGTCGTTAGTGTTTATGATGAATAAGATACTTCGTTAGTGTTTATAATGAATTAGATCTGTCGTTAGTGTTTATAATGAACTAGATATGTCGTTAGTGTTTATGAAGGATTATATTCGATGTTATTGTTTATTGTGAATTAGATACGTCGTTAGTGTCTATGATGAACAAGATATGTCGTTAGTGTTTGTGATGAACTAAATATGTCGTTAGTGTTTATGATGAATTAGATACGTCGTAAGTGTTTATAATGAATTAGATATGCCGTAAGGGTTTATAATGAACTAGATATGTCGTTAGTGTTGATGAATGATTAGATCCATCATTGTTTATGGGGAATTAGATACGTTGTTAGTGTTTATGATGAATTAGATATGTCGTTAGTGTCTATGATGAACTAAATGTGTAATAGTGTTTATGATGAACTTGATATATCGTTAGTGTTGATGATGGGTTAGAAACGTCGTTAGTGTCTATGATAAATTAGATATGTCGTTAGTATTGATGATGAGTTAGATATGTCGTTAGTGTCTATGATGAATTAATATACGTCGTTAGTGTGTATGATGAATAAGATACGTTGTTAGTGTTGATGATGAATAAGATATGTCGTTAAGGTCTAAGGTGAATATGATATGTCGTTAGGGTCTATGGTGAATTATATACGTCGTCAGTGTCTATGATGAGTTAGATACGTCGATAGTGTTGATGATGAATATGATATGTCGTTAGTGTTTATGATGTACTAGATATGTCGTTAGTGTTTATGATGAATTAGATATGTCGTAAGTGTTTATGATGAATTAGAAACGTCGTTAGTGTTTATGATGAATTAGATACGTCGTTAGTGTTTATGATGAATAAGATACGTCGTAAGTGTTTATGATGAATTAGATACGTCGATAGTATTGATGATGAATATGATATGTCGTTAGTGTTTATGATGTACTAGATATGTCGTTAGTATTTATGATGAATTAGAAACGTCGTTAGTGTTTATGATGAATTAGATACTTCGTTAGTGTCTATGATGAATTAGATATATGGTTAGTGTTATTTGGTGAATTAAATATGTCGTTAGTGTCTATGATGAATTAGATACGTCGTTTGTGTTGATGATGAATGAGATATGTCGTTAGGGTCTATGGTGAATTATATACGTTGTTAATGTTTATGAAGGATTATATACGTCGTTAGTGTTGATGAAGAATCAGATACGTCGATATTGTTGATGAAGAATCAGATACGTCGATATTGTTGATGAAGAATCAGATACGTCGATATTGTTGATGAAGAATCAGATACATCGTTATTGTTGATGAAGAATCAGATACGTCGATATTGTTTATAATGAATTAGATACGTCGTTAGTGTTTATGATGAATTAGATACATCGTTAGTGTGTATGATGAATTCGATATGTCGATATTGTTTATGATGAATTAGATACGGTGGTAATGTTTATGAAGAATCAGACACGTCGATAGTATTTATGATGAACTGGATTCGTGTCTTTAGTGTTGTTGATTAATTAGATACGTTGTTTGTGTTTATGAATAATAATCAAATATGTCGTTAGTGTTTATGATAAATTAGATACGTCTTTAGTATTTATGATGAGTAAAATACGTCTTAAGTGTTTATAATGAACTAGATACGCTGATAATGTTGATGATGAATTAGATACGTTTTTATTGTTTATGATTAATGATATACGTCGATAGTGTGTATGTCGAATTATAAATCTCGTTAGTGTACAATATGTTCAAAATTTAGTCTGTTAGTTTTTTATTCTGAATTTTTTTGTCATGTCGGGACCTTTTATATAGTTTGCTATGCGGTATGAGTTTTACTCATTGTTGAATGCCGTACGCTGACCTATAGTTGCATTTTTTATTCATATAACATATGCGATATGTTGATAGTGTTTATGATGAAATAGATATATTGATGGCAATTAATTATACCTGCGCCTCAGTCCATGTCTTCCACATCTTAAAAATTTCCTTCGTTGCTGAAATAGAATTAAAATATGTCCCATAGATTCAATACACAATAATTGTAAAGGAAAATAATGGTAAGTCTTGTTTAAATGGTGTCGCCATTTATAACAGAATAATTTAAAAGATGTGCTCCTCCTTTCATACGTTGCTATATAATTCTCAATTCATAAAGATTTTACAACTAGATCATGCCATAATTAATTTGATCCTTACAAAGGGGTCGAAGTGAGGACTTATAGAAACATGCTTCTTCGATTTATTCTAACGTTAGTATAAAAATATGAAGATGTCATATTCTTCCCAATGAGACAAATCTCCACAAGAGACTAAAATGACATAGAAATTAACAACTATAGGTCACCCTTCAACAATGAACAAAATCTATACCGCATAGTCAGCTATTAAAGGCCCCGAAATGAGAAATGTAAAACAATTCGAACGAAAAAAACTAACGGCCTGGTTTATGTAAAAAACAATGAACGAAATACAAATATGATATACAGCAACAAACGACAACCACTGAATTACAGGCTCCTGACTTGGGACAGGCACATACAGAATATGGCGGGATTAAACATGTTATCGGGCGCATAACCCTCCCTTAATATGTGATAGAGGTGTAACAGTACAACATATGAACAAACTTAGGTCAGTTTATGTTATGTTTTAGAATTAGTGTCATATGAAACGTGTTGCTGGTAATCATAACTTTACGAAAATTATTGAACCAACGCATTTCTATATGTTACAGTCATATTCTGAATTTAGATATTCTTTAAAATGCTAGAAAACTTTAACATTTTCTAAATTGCCTGAATGATTCAGGCATTTTATATATCTATTAATTTTTCCAGGTATTTCATAAAATACCTGAGAAAATTGAAAAGCATTTTACAAAATGCCTGAAGTTATTTTATAATATGAAATTTAATAAAAAACTGAACCATTAAAAGTATTTAATAACTTTAACAGAGAGTCTTATCTATGATAATTACTGAACTTTAACGCTTGGAATTTAAAAGTTTTAACAATTAAAACTAAATTCTACTGAATTATTCAAAATTCCCACAAGCATTTAACTCGGCAATTATTTAATATTTCATAAAATGTTCGGAAGGCAGGTCCTGTTACCTATTTGTCCTGATGTTTTTGCAAATACATCGTTTGGCTTAAATTCTGGTCTTATCACTACAAACACATTTGGTGAAACCCGGACCATGACACATGCAGCTATGTCATTTTTTTCTTTCTGATAAAACATTTAATGTACGAAACACTTGCTGTTTCGTAATATCACACACATGACAATCTTCTACTTCGTGTGTTCCCAAAAGATTAAAAGTCTCATAACCACAATTAGGTTGACTTTCATCGTTTTGCTTATCAGAGCTCTGATATTCAACATCCAATATTCGAAGTGCGGATTTTAATTGTACAGCAAGAGATGCTTACCCTGCCGCCCACCCGGTCTTACTTCTAATGGAGTTCATGAGATTCCTTCAGGTATTGTTTCACGGTTACCTTGAATACTCTGTTCTGGGTCGATTTTCGAGATTTGAAAATGTGTAAACCACTGTCACCTTAATTCATCAGATTATAAAGACCCGATAATTCAAATGAGGCAGTGAAGATTAAGATACTTATATCTTTGCATCACAACCAAATACGGCCTGGTACGGTAAATCCATTGCTATAGAGGGGAATTCGTTTGGCTGTGCAGTATGTATAAATTCGAATTGGGACTTTCAATCGAATGCCTCGTGTAGCTCTGCATGTTAAGAACTCTTTGACCGTAGGTTGTCTGTTGGAAGGCAACATTTCTGTCACTATTCGATATACCTTCATTTCAAGCGGCAGTCGAAATTCTCCTTCTTTGATTGGAGCAATCCATTGCAGAAATTACAGTAACATATTTGATTTATTATCAATTTGTTCTAGTCCTAAATATGCATGAAATATTTGCAACTGAACGCAAACAAACAGCATTCCGTCATTAAGAAATATCCTTCTTTTTCAGGTGCTTCAGTTACACACTTCTGTTTTGATTCTAGATTTTATAAAAAAATATTTGTAAATTTCGTTCTATTGTAAGAACAATTTGTCTTCTGTCATCATGACAAGAAGATAAAAAAAGTACTATCTGAAATACAGTGTGTGTGCATTTTTAACATAGTTTCTTAAAATGAACTTGGTGCCTCGGTGGCCGAGTGGTCTAAGTAGTCAAACTACTGTATCACTGGCCTGTCAACACTGAGGTTATGAGTTGGAATCCCGCACGTGGTAGGTGCGTTCGACTCTAACCTTAATTGACTAGAATTTCAGTTTTCCTACCGAAGGTCGGTGGTTCTCTTCCTCCACCAATAAAAACTGACCACCAAGAAATAACACAACAGTGCTGAAAGTGGCGTTTAACACCAATCAATCGATAAAAAGAACTAATTATAGACATACAAAATTTTCCAGCTAGTATTTGAAGAATACATTTAATTTTACTGAACCATTTGTTATATTTTCTTTGCAAGATATTAAGATTTCGGTCATATCCTTTTTTCTACAAATTACCTGAAACTGAACAGGCAGGTATTTTTAGTCATTTCAAATAATGCCTGTCAATGTTAGGCATTTTATATAAATTGCCTAAAAAATCAGTCATTTTTCAAAATGCCCAAATTTAGAAAATGACTAACATATATACCGAAAGAAGTCCATTGCACACGTTTTATTACGAATCCAGAACGTATAATCGTCAAAAATATTTCATTCGGCGGTTGAAAACTTTGACTGGTAATTATCTTTCAGGTTTAGATGCCTATATTTACCGAATCATTACCTTGATAAACAATCAACACAGAAGCATTGAGCACGTGAAGGTGATAATGCGATGTTTATTTTTTTCCTTTATATTGTCCATGCATTCCCATTTGAAACTTTAATTTCGAAATAACAGTTGTTAATTTATTTAAATATTGGTACATTAAAAGTTTTCTTTCAGAATCGGTTAATAAAATGTTCCTTTCACGTTTGTTTACTCTTTCTTTCAACTTGTTTTTTTCCTTCGCACTTGCGGCTGTGCAATTGCTGAAATTCTAACAAAAAGTGTCATGGTTGAGGTCTCTGCATAGGGAAAAGCTTTCGGCGAGTACGGGAAAACAATAATTTCATAGTTGTACATTTCTGAATATTTAATAAAAGATGTTATGTGAAAAATAATGCTTAGCCATTCAAGTATATAAAACATTTTCATCTTGTTTTTGTTAAATTTAAAGGATCTGTAACTTTAAGTTAATTAAATCAAAGTATATCTTAAATGTGTATAAGATGGTTTCTTATAGTATGTTTTAAGCAAAAATAATAGTGAGTAATTTTTCTTACTTTCCTTAGTAGTAATTTTCTGCGGTAGTCTTATTCGAATAAGTTTCCAATCTTCGTCACTTGTGAGAGAATCATTACAGTGATCAGTATCAACGAGATAACATCCATCTTCAGATTCCACGTAGTTAGCGGCGCAGCATTTTTCATTTGAGAGACAACGTACTACACAAGCAGCTAAGTTATTTTCTGAAATCTTTGATGTATTTAACGTTACAAACGTAGTTTTGTCCTCTATTTCGTAAATGTTACCTATAACTTCAGCAGAGCACAATACAAGAAATGACAGTGTTTGTAATCCTAAGAAAAAAGTTAATAATTTGTTCATGATTTTTATATTTTGACCAAAGTTATCCTAGCTTTAACGGAGAATGAAACAATTTACGGTCGGCAAAAGATTTTAAAACATTACCAATTGTTCCATTGTCTGCACTTTGATTTTAATTTGTATAAAGTAAATTATCGAATAATTCCTACAATCAAGCACTTATAGTCTTATAAAAACAAACAGAAATTAGACAACTAGTTTTATCTGAAATAAAGAATGAACTTGGCGTGTACATCATGATAACATATTAACGATTGGTTTTGTATTGTATTATATAAACATGTGAGTTATACAATTAAACATATAAAACAAGTAAATATTTAAGGAGAGTTGGCTAACAGAGGGTAAATTATCTAAACATTTATCATACAAAGAAGGTTTGTCAATAAAAACGATCAAAACAAAACAAGGAGATTTCAGATGGAATAAACGTCTATTGACTTTAAATAATACAAAAGTACAATCTATGTTGATAAGATAGAAGAGTATTTTACCGATGTTCAAATCTCGTCAGAAAATATAAATTAAGGTTAAAAACTAAAACTGAGAAAAAGAGCGAGGACGGGTTCTTGACGTTAAACGTCTCCTTTGATAAATTGAATCTCTACAGTTTCCTAAGTTGATCTTTTATTAGTACCATATTATCATATATTTTCTTTCTCATCCTTTCTACAGTATATATGATTCTTTGTTGTCCGTTTACGGCATTGTCATCATCGGACATGACATGATCTCGAGACTTCCATAACTGACCGAGGGCTTAAGCCGAAGGTCCCGATATGGATCAAGGGCGTATATGTATGCTGAAATTTTAAAAGGTCAGTTAAATAAAAACACGTCTTTATTGAAGGAGGGAAATAAGTTGCGAAGTTTAAATTTATTTTTCTACCAGATGCAGTGAAAATTAAAAAAAAAGATTAATATAAGTGCCACTGAGGTGGATTAATATATATTTATTACCAACCAGATATGTGATAATTTATCAACTTTAATGATAAGATATTTACTCATTTAAATACATTTAAGTTACATTGGAAATTATTCATTACTTAAATGTGAAACAATACTTGGTCATATTATATGCACAGTTAAAGCCAGAGGTGTATACGAGGGTTTTAAATGTTCAATATATGACTAAGTAATGCCTGGCCCATTTAGAGAATATTCACACCTTCAAAATTAATCCACTTAGAAATAATATTTCCAGAATTATGCATGTTATACCAAAATTGGTATAATAATCCTAATAGTTTTGTGCTGTTCAATAATAATTTAGACCAGAACGGTAACATTCGTAATCGTACTTTATTTTCC